ATAAGATCAAAAAAAGCAGAAATAAAAAAGAAAAAAAATAAATTTAATTTTTTAAACTCTTATTAAAAAGTTTAAAGTATCATAATCACAAAAAATGTGTAAATTATTAATGAAACTTTTTATTGATATCAATATGTTTTACAAATGATTCTAATATATTTTCTTTATAAAATATCCCCCATATATAATATCCTCCTATATAATATATCTCTCAAAAATAATACCCAGTTTTACACACAGTACCCATGGATATTATTCAATTTAAAAAATGATATTTTGAATAAGACCCTGGGTACTGTAAGCAGTGCTAAACGGTAGCTATCTGATAAATGTTAGTCTAGACACTGATTAGCATCTGGCTAGTCAATATACAGTATAATCCTAGCATAATATTTTTTTCTAATCAAAAGGTATTCTAACTATATAAATAAAACAATGTATACAGATAATTTACTTGATCTTCTTTTGCCAAAAATAATATCATTTATTTTAAAGTATCTTCTAAAACAGGAACTAAAGAATTCTTACAGTATAAATAATATATGAGAAAGAGAGACAGATTTATTTCTCAGAGGATTATCACCTAAGAATGCATTTAAAGTTCTTTTGAATGAGCTAGAAGTACTTGCATTAGATGAGATAGTGGAAAGGCTGAAGCAGTGATCGTGTAATTTCCTAAATGTGCTTTGCTATTTTTTCATTTGAAGATACAACATATAATACAGATTATTTATGATGCAAATAAGCATCTTTTATTTACCAGAACTATTAGAACATATTTTACATTTCTTAGCAGTAAATAAGTCACTTATCCCGCTCTATTTGTATTCTGATTATAGTACAGATATGATGCTTCTATCCTATGAAGGCGTATTGAGCTAGAGGAAAAAAACTTATATTCTGAGCAATCTCTTCCAAATAATTATAATTACTGTGCAAAGGATTGCCTTCAATTAAATAAATTTATAAGGATAGAACGTGTAAAGGATCTCTCTCAATTAAAAAAATTCATAAAGCTAGTATGTGAAAAGCAAATGCCAGTTTATTGCTCAAATATAACTCATTTCGAAATATTATACTACCATTCACTTTCAGGTAAAAAAATCATAAGTATTGTGCATTCATGCCCAAATATAGTCCATTTGAGTTTCATAAATAGTATAGGATTTAGTAATAGAGTTTTAGAACTGATAGCAGATTCATACCTGAATTTGAAGTATCTCAATCTGTATGATGATCAGTCGGGTGTAAAGATGACATCTCAATTAGTTGTAACAGGTGACAAATAAGCATCACAATGTTGTAATGAATTGTAACATTATTAAAATTTAAGTTGTAACAGGTGACAAATAAGCGGCACAATGTTGTAACGCTATCTTTAGTCAGGTGGCTTTACGAGTTTTTATGTTTGAGAAGTAGATAATAGAGGTCTATACAGGATCGTAAAGACATGTTATAAATTAGAATATTTAAATATCACCTATTACACAAAGATTACTGAACATTCAATTTGCGATATTATTCGTTCCTCTTCAAAACTCTAACATCTTGACATTTTCTTTTGTGAAATTACTGATATGGCTATCAAAAAAGTTGCTAGATCATGTCTTAATTTAAAATATATTAATTTGAGAGGGTGTTATATTAGCAAAGAAGCCCTAGATTAGCTAAATCCAAATACTTATGTTAAGATTTTCTGAGGTCTGTTTGATAATCAAGCTGTAATAGAGTAAGTGATAAGATGGCTATATAACACTCAACCTAGGATTGCTAATATTAGAACTTAGTTTTATTAGACATTCTGATAACTTAATTTCAATATATCTATGATAGTTAATAGATTACTTAACGATCAAGTAGAATGGTGAAACTCTACTGATCTAACTAATCTAAAGCAGTGATCACCAGCTCAGAAGAACTTGCTGAGTCACAGATTGTGTGACAAAATATATAAATTAACTAAATTTATACCAGGTATAGGCACTGGTCTGCGCTAGTCAAACTTTTTATGAAAACTTCATGCAATTGTTAAAGAGAGACCTTTAGAAATAATGTTATTCTCTTTCCAGTAAAATAAAACATTTTTACTCCCTATCAATGAATTTCTGTATTAACACACTTGGAACATCTTCTAAAGGACCATGAAATTTCTCAAACTTTTGAAGATATTCTCTTGCAATTTTAGCAGCCTCTTCTGCCCTTTCTTAATTAGAATAACTAACAACATCAAGCTCTTCTTGAATTGCTATTATATCATCTTCCAAATACATAAGCAAATTAAATATTTCACTAAATGAAATATCTGTAGAAGCTTCATTGCTTCGATATTTTACTTCTAGAACAGGATTACCATTAATGTTAAGATTCTTTTGTATTGATATTAAATCCCTACCAATTCTAATAACAATTCATATGAATCAGCAAGAGTTTTTTCTATGAGCTCAGAATCTGAAGGCACTGCCAACTGATTTGCATTCCCACTAATACTGAGTTTTTCCTGAATAGCTATTATATCCTTTTTCTTATATAAAAGCACTCTATAAAACTGAGCAAGCATTTCAGTATTAATGTTCGCTATGATTGCTATAATATATTTAATGTGAAAAATTAAGTGAAATGCCTTAAGTGTTAAGTCTGGAATACTGATCATCATCCCAGTGATCATCAGCTTAGAAGATTTTTTGTTAAGTCTCATGTGTACTCCTATGTGATAAAAAAAATATAGATTAGCTAACCTGTTCTAAATACAGACACTAGCTGAATTTTTACACAATTGAAATAATGGTAGTTACTTTCTAATAAAATAAAACATTTTTACTTCTTATAAATGAATTTCTGTATTAATACACCTGAACTATTTTCTGGCAAAAGCACTAAAGGAAGGAACTGTCAGAAGTTTTGAAGATAAGCTCTTGCATTTTTATTAGCTTCTTATAATCCACTTATTTTCTGATCAGAATGACTGACAATATCAAGAACATTCTGAATCATGCTTATATTCTCTTTCAAATAAAAGCAAATGATTTAATATTCCAAGTGACCTTTTCCATATGTTTCTCCCTCAAGATCATATATATTATTATATAATATAGTAAAAATAAGGTGGTAATCCACATCGAGATCTCCCTGTATATCTATTAATTCCCTTATTAAATCAAATAACAGCCCAAACGAATCTTCAAATGTTTTTTCTTTTTTGCTTAATTCAATGCTATTTGATTTCTATTCTCAATAGGTCCTTTTCTCCAGTTTGGGTCTATAGTCGTAAGCTTAAATTACTTAATCTTTAAGAAGTTCTCTTGCAGAACTTGACCAAAATTATACTTTCTTTATAATTTATTTGATATGGATGAGAATCTCATAGTTAGCAATATAGATAGAAACAAGTTAGTTATATATTAAAATGACTTGATACTGGAACTCACATTAAATGGCTTAGGATTCATGTATTCCCCATTCTTGATAGCATCATCTATTTCGTTTATATGAAATGGTTGTATATGTTTATTTTTTATTTTTTTATAGCAAATACAATAATAACGTTTTTTAGCAGTAAACAATATAGCAAGTTGTGTAATAATTCATTATATAAATATACAATATTATCAGTTAGTTATTCTACGAAAAATTAATTTACAGTATGCTTAATAAAAATTAAATCATTCTGTATGACCAGATGTTTGAATATTAATAACGGAAACTTTGTCTTCGTAAGACTATAGTTTGAATCATGCTAATAATTTTCATTCAAATAGAAGTTACCCTTTCTATCAGTTTCAAGAACAAGCTCCTAGAATGAAATTTATAATATAAATAAGAATGTCTAAAACAAACCAATATATTATTATAAATTAGATTCTTACTCTTAATTTGTAACATCTTTTTATAATAGAGATGATTACAAGAAATTCTGTTACCTCAATGAGAAAGTCATTTCTACTAGAGAGACAAGCTGGTATAAGTCATCATATTCTAAAATGATTTGAAAAAACTCAATCCTGTTTCTTATTATATAAATATATAATTAGCATATCACTTATCAATATAGGATTAGTTTTGATTACTCACTGTTAATTAGTATATTATACGTTTCATCATGAATCCTATATATAATGCACTCTTTATGAGGGTAGCCAATTTTACAAGTGCATAATTTGCAATGGACTTATGATTTTCTATTTTTGGTGGCTTAATCTCTCTAAATAGTATTTCACTCTCATTCTTATCTTTACAAATTAAGCGGAAATCAGACTTTAACCCATTGGTATCAAAATCCTCTAAATATTGATTTTTAGATGAACTACTTTCTCTATTCGCTTTGTATAAATATAATTTTATAAATGTCTTTGCAAAAACATTTATCGTAAGGTAATAGCATAGAATATACTATACAAGTTGCATAGTTTTAATATGAAAAATCTCTTCCAAAATTATGTGGCAAGTTTTGTAAGCATAGGTGTCTTCATCTGATTAATTCTTATTTTACCATATGGTAAATTGTAAAAGCTACGCATAATATTATAATTAATATATCATAAATACATACAGATTGATTATCTAATATCAGTCTACTTATAAATTATGTGTTATGATCTACACTAAATCAAATATTCTCTTATTTTCTTAACCATCTAATAAAGATACTTTGCTTTAGTTCAATTGTCACAGCTCTTCAAATTCAGCCAATTCACCTCTCATTATATGCTTAAAATAAAATATAATCAGTGTATTGAATGATAGTTAATTGATTTATATATTATATACTGTATATATGTATATACTTACTGTTAAATATAAACATACAATAGATTGAATAAGAGCTAGTATCTTGAATTTATAAGTAATGCATAGAAATATCATTCGCTACTTATTATCGATATATAAAATATAAGCTAGTTTTTGATTCTTTTTTAATATCATTATGCTTGATAAGATGCTATTATAAGTAAAAATTCTGTGAACATTCTATTAAAAATACACAGATTTTCATTAAAAAATGCCTACATTATAGATTCACAATCAGTTACATAGCTTAAAACTGGATTGACTTTTAGTTTCTCAATGATAGACTTCTGAAATTACCAAAAATCTTCTGAAAATTGTGCCCTTCATTTATCCACTATTCAAATGCAGATGATTCAGCAAAAAATATAATATATAAGTAATTATTTCAGCAAACATTTAACATACATTTTTCAAAGAATTTTCGTTTATTTCTATTTTTGATATTACATAGTCTTATATAAGTATTTGTTTACAGCTTACTTTAATACTGAATGAGAGAATTGCAAAGTTATTATTAGGTTCTTTTGCAGAAGTAGCATAATTTTCTTGGACCTAAATTAAAATATATAAGCGATATGTGCAAATATTTAAAGATGTTAATGAAACTAAAAAATGATGTTCTTCTTACCATTTCTTCATTAAGCTCATTCTCACAATCATCATTACTATCTCTTTTATGCTTTTTAGTAATTGCATTTTTTATATTATCTAATGCTTTTGACTTAGATACTTGATCCTACATGGTCTAAAAGTTAGTTATTGTGTTAACACTTAATGATGATCTGTATGAAGAACAGAATGACAGTGATAATATCTCACCTATTTTTCACAAATATCAATATTATTTTCTCTCATTAATTCCCATTAATCAATGTGATCAATAATCTTCTCGGCAAGTTCAATGAAAAAATTTTTTTTGACTATAATATTATTGATTAGTCAACAGCTTTTTAAAAGTGAGAATTATTAGCAAAGGTTACCTTAACAGTTATCTTTAGCTTTTTTGCATAATCTACAATGTACTTAGGATAACTAACAGCCTCATTTTTCTCAACTATAACTAATGATCTATGAAAGGACCTATATAAATCTGGCACTGTCAAAAGTGGGTTGATCTCTAATTTGGAATTCATATAATTATTGAGATGATGCATTTGGATACCAGAATGGTAGAAAAATAAGTATCGATTTCTATATGTGCAGGAACTTTATAATCTATGATTAACTTTGAAGAAATAAAAGTAAAAAAATAAAATCAGATATCATAAGTCATAACCCAGAATACTCCTAAAAAGATATAATAAAATGCATCTCAAATTTTATTAGACAATTTACGCGTCTCAGACTCTCAGCTTATCAAATCACGTACAGGTGTAATGTATCAAAATTGCAATCAACAGAATCTCTTTCGTCATAAAAAGGGCCTTACAGAAATGCTTGCCTGTTGCCTTTTTATCAGAGTCTCGCAGAAATACTCATCTTTTACACTATCCCTATGCTTTAGACTTAAAAAATTACCTTCAAAGCTTATAAATGTGTCTGGGAGGTATATTGGTAGAAAGAGAAGATGAGAATCTCGCAGAAATGTTCATCCTTTATATCATTTCTATGCTTTAGACTTAGGAAACTACCTCTAAAGCTTATATACTCATGCTTCGACTTTAAAAGATGTATCATCTTTGTGCAATGATAAATCAAATAAAAAAAAGAGTTACATATAATTTATATTATAATCTTTATTGAACTTTTATGCAATAGATTTAGATCTTTTAATGTTAAAGTATATTCTCATTATAAATATGCAAGATGTCTGACTAGTCTTACCATAATGCTCAAAATAAAAATAATTTTCATTAATAATTTCTAAGGATAATATAGGTCTGTATAATGTGATTTCTCTCTTGTACATTATGGCAGAAGAAAATATGCTCGCTTAAAAAAAGTTGATATATTGCAGTTTGACGGAAGTGATAGTGAAGAAGTTATTGGAAAAAGTTTTAGATAAAAAGATTATATTAAATAAGATATGATTTTTTTTCAGTTAGCATTATAGAAGGCGGATAGCATAGTTTTGTTAAGGTGATTTATTTGTATTGCTTGCTTTCATGTACTAATAACAGTTTTGTTCTATCCAAAATATCAGTATTAAAGGTAAATGAAATCAGATTAGAGTTAATATTAGGATATTGTATTAGTGTGAATAGCTAAACGCTGTTATGGTATATAGGCATTAGTATAGAAATGCCATTTCACTTTGTAGAATAAGTTTATTTATCATTAAACCATGTAATTTATTTTCTGTATCAATAAAGCCACATTTAATAGTATAATTCTGATAAGACATTTTCTTGTTTATATTTATACTGACAAACTTTTAAATTATTTATACTCTGTATAAAATAATATCAAATGCTCAATCTATTGATTCATTAAGAGAGTTAAATGCTAAGCTCTTAGATGAGATTGCCAAATTTAGGAAGAAGTTTACTGAAATTGAGGGTAAGAATGCTAAGATTCCTGAACTTAAAAGGAAGATTACAAAGGTTGAGGCTGAAAACACAAAGCTGAGGCAAATTATTGAAAAGAATGTCAGACGTGATATTAGAGTTAAGGAACTAGAGCAAAAAATATAGAACTTGAGGTTAGATTTATAATAGTGGAATAGAATTCTGTAACAGTGTCAAAGAATGATAAGGAAGCAATTATAAAGCAATCAGCTCCATCTTCTTGCATATATTCGAATGTAGAGATAAAAGTAAAAGCGAAAAGCACTGAAAAGTATTTCATTAAAGATTCTTCATCTGATAATAATTTACTATTGATTCCCAAATATAGTCAAAGAAGCAGGACCAATCTCTGCCATCTTGTGTAAGTAATCAGAAATCATCAGTAGATAGGGAAATGGATACTTTCTTGGATGATGCATATAAGAAAAGTATTAGTGATAGGATAAGGCAACGCAATAAGAAAAAATTTCTGCGTGAGATAGCCTTCCTTAAAGTATTACTTTCTGCGAAAAATAATCTGACTGTTTCTCAGAAAATGATAAAATTAAAAGTAGTACAAAAACTGTTTTTTTAGGAAACGATTAGATAGTTTTAGAGAAGTCAAAAAAAATCAAGAAAACTTCAAGAAATCAGCAAAAAGTTATTCAAGATTTTGATGACTCTAATAAGATCGAGCTTACTAAAATCAAAATATAGAACTTGATTTAATACGAGATTTACAGAGTGGCAGTATTATTACTTTACTTTCTAAAATTAATAAGCAGTATTCATCCTCTTGCGAAGCATCTTATAGCCAAATTATAACACAAAGCCTAATCCATTTATTTCAAAATGTAACACAAGCTGGACATGAAGAGATTTTGTCTTGGGTTCATTATTCAGATAATTTTAAAAATAAGGTTGTTGAAATTCGTCGTGAGACAGGAGTTACTGATAAAATTGCAAGAACTCAAATATACAAGAAAATGTTAGAATGTCTGGCTGGTATTACGCCTGTTACCTTACGAATTAAAGATTAAGTGTGTCAATTGCAGTGCAAATGAAATTTCAAAATTAACTAATAAACAAATTCAAAATGTTATAGATCAAGTAACTTCAAAAACTGTTTTCTCAGAAAACAATCAAAGTCACGTGCCTTTGAAAACTACCAATGGTGATGCATCTTCAAAACTTAAGATAAACATTTCTACCACATCTCGTTCACCAATTCTTAGGACTACTTATGACCGATCCTATTTTCATAACAAGATATTGGGCCAATATCCTACTTTATATAGAGAATTTACTAATGAGATATTTTGCGATCCCAAAAGAACTTGCTCATTATGCAGTTTAGATCATGATGATGAGAAAAATATAAAAGGTAGATATAAGGCTGGATCCTATTTTATTAAATGTAAACAGCATGAAATTGAGATAATTGCATAGTCTCATTATTTTTTACACATGTCAACTATTACCTAATTAGATTGATTTGCAATTATAGAAATTATAGAAAAAGGTAACATGGTCAAGTCCGATAAAACATTAACCCCTGAATATCCGGATTGGCATGCCAAACTAATTGGATTACCAAGTGTTTTAACAGATAAGATTCGTCCAATTTATACAAAAGATATAAAAAAGAAACTGGAAATGAGCCATGGCAATTATCAGAAGCTGTGATAAGTATATCAGAAAAACCTCAAGCATCTAATTTCAAGCCTATTACCTTCGAAATCAAACCTGATACAGAGTTAATTATCAAATCTGTCTTAAAGCATTTCACATACCTGAAATTCTGAAATAGTTTCAGAGGGATTGATAATTATAATTTTGCATTACCTCAGCCGTAGAGTTCACCATGTCCTACTTGCAATGGAAAATATGGGAATTAAATTACATAGCGAATGGTATAAAAACAAAACGGAATATTGTCTTACTTGCTTCACTTCAAGCAATAAATTCAAATTTGCGATTGTAGCATAGAAGCTTTATCATGTACTCGCGCTTGTATTTAGTAAAACGGTCATGACACGTAATCATTAATAATTTTCCAGACACGTGAATGTGAGAACAAAAGTGACCGTGATGCATTTATTTTTAGCGCAATATGATTTCTTTCCTTCTTCAATCAAGATGTTCAAAATGGCGGTATACAAACAAAGAACTTGTAGAATAGGACTTAATTATTTAAGAAATTTAGCAACTGTTAGACCTGTTAGACGTTTTTTTGATCCTAAAAATGATGTAGCCTTCAAAAAGATTTTTGGTGTGAAACAAAACAAGTCACTTTTATTAAGTTTTTTAAATTCAATATTAAGACGAGAGGGTGATAATATGATTGAAGAAGTTGAATTATTACCTCAGGAGCTATTTCCTCAATACGAAGATTCTAAAAAATCTATTTTGGATGTTTCTTGCCAAGACAAAAAAGGACGTAAATACATTGTTGAAATGCAAAACAAAAGACTCAGCTCATTCATCCAAAGATTAGAATATTATGCCTCACGTACTTATTCTGACCAACTCTTTGAAGGTGCAGATTATTTAGAACTTAAGCCAGTAATTCTACTTGCTATCGCAAATCATAATATTTTTCCTAAAAAGATTCAATGTATTAGTTATCATCGCAATCGTGAAGAGAAATCAAATATATGTTTTTTACCAAATCTTTCGTATGTATTTGTTGAACTTCCAAAATTCAGTAAATGCAGTGAACAACTCGAAACTCCCGAGAACTATTGGATACATTTATTAAAGGAAGCCTCTGATGAAAATGAACCTTCAAAAGAAGTGCCTAATGAGATTCAAGAAGCTTATAGAGTTCTTGAAAGACATCGTTGGAGCTTGACGGAAATTACAAGCTATGAAAAGACCATGATGGCAATTTTAGATGATGAAGATGCAATTAAAACTGCTAAAAATGAAGGTAGGGAGGAAGGGAAGGAGAAAGGAAAAGAAGAAATTGCATGTAAGCTTTTGAAAAAAGGTTATTCTCCTCAAGATATTTCAGATGTTACAGGTTTATCAGCTTTAAAAGTTGAGGAGTTAAAAAATCAATAATATATTTTGATTTAATGAGAACCCAATGAATATTTTATTCACATACAAAATGATTAATTAGATTCTTACTTGTATTCACATCATGAAACAGTGATTTTTTACAAATTTATTATGTATTAGTTGCTTTGATAGCGTTTTACTTCATTAAAGAAAGCATTAGTGAATTGGGAATGAAACGTGTATAGGACAGTTTTCGTTATATAAAATCGAGTTCTTATGATAAAAAATGCACAATACTATATTGGCAACCAAAAATAGAGGTTGTATGACGTAAGATCCGCATATATATTCGCATTATTTTTTCGATTTTATTTGCATTTATTTTTGCATGTCATGCCTCTGGCCACACTATTATCATATTAACAAAACAATATTCGGGTATGGATATTTTTTCCAGCAATCATTATTTCGCATATGGGATTGGGGATATCTATGTTAATCATAAGATCATTTTTATTGATTTGCAGGGGATTAACAATTGATGAAATGCAGTGCGTAATTACTGGTGAAAATCCGGTGAATGTTTTCTCCTACAAAATTTACAAATGCTATAAAAAACCCCATCTTTAGCTTTAGCCAGTAAGTTAGCTATTTTTTTTCTGACCATAAGTGATAAGTGGGTAGGTATGGAGAACCAAGGGAGCTCAGTTAATACAAAAGTTCCATTTGATGTGACAGAGATCACCACTGACGATATCAATATGAAGGATATTGTAATCACCTTTACTCAAAGCAGTGATAAAACCGAGAAGATGATTGGTATAAACAAATCTCAAATTATCACTCTAGCACTAAATTTACTCAGCACAAATAGTTTTATTCGTAGAATTTACTATAGTCACCTGTGGTTGTCTTTATCACCAAAAGTGTCTCGAAGGGTTTCTCTTGAACGTAGCAAAAATAAGAGGCAAGCTAACATGTCCGAATTGGGATTGTAAAGGCAGAGAGATCAAAACTCTAATAACTCAAGATCTTTTTAAAAAACGGGCAAACCTACACCCTCAACTGCAAATTTCACTAAGCCAGTGGATTTGAGAAATCAAACTCCCATGGATGATGATGTAACACTAATAGGCGAACTAGGATTAATAGGCAGAGAAGAACAAAGTTCGTCCAAGACTACCAACAAGGCATCAAGCTCTATTCAGATTATTAAAGAAACTTCTGACTAGGTAACTAGCCCTATTGAGGTTATGAGCACTACACCTAGCAATTCTGAAAATGGAAATGACTCAATTTCAAAGGACTCTAATGGATAAATCTAACACCCTATATATGACAAAGGCTCTGAAAATATCACCATAGATTTTCAGAAAGATACCATCTTTTTATTCTATAGTCATGCTGTGCATTTAAATTGTATTAACAATCTACATAAAAGATGTCCTACCTGTACTTCAACCAATAATTTAAAAATGATTCCAGTAGAATAGACTTTGAGTACCATTCAGAAACGTTCTAGTGATTTATCCAGAAAATCGTCAAGTAAGAAGCAGAAGATATCTAATAAGGAAGGTGTCCCTTCTATGCTAAAAAAACTTATTGAAGAGCTATTAACTGATAATTTCAATAATGAAGATTTGGAAGAATCGACCAAAAGCATGCCAGATGCTTCACTAAACTCTGGTAATTTTTTTTATCTATCCAGTATGATAGATCAAGCTGAAAAAAAAATAAAGATGCAACACAGAATGTCATCAATTGATATTTCGACTTTGGAGAGGCTTTATACTTGTGATATAAGGAATTAAAACCCAATCATGGTAAGTATAGCTGAAGCTCTCATTAAAGATGAAGTTAAGAAACAAATCTCCATAACAGAGCTTTCTGATAAAGCTTTACGAAAGAGGATGGAAAGGGTCGAGAAGGTCTATAAGCTTTTTAATAGTATTAATAAATCGAAAATAGCACAAATTAGAACTTTTTTCGCTAGATTTATATTAAATTTATCTGATAATAATGTTTATCATATAATAGCTGGTGTCTTGAGAGCAAATCAATAATTCATTTACTGTGTCACATTACTGCACCTGAGCATCTGTATTCAGATTTTTCATTTTTACATAAATAAATAAAAAGTACTAGTTTAACCTTTTTTAATTACATCTGCGGAAGATAACCTATCCTATTAGAAAAAAATGATGCTCGCAAATTTATAATATGTAATATTTTTTTCTAAAATTTAATTAGCTGATCATCTTGTGATTTAGCTAGGCCAGAGGTGTTCTTCGAATAAGGCACTGTGCATAGAAACTCGTCAGCTCTTGAAACTCTCCTAGAACTATCGAGGAACAGGAAGGAATCTAGGGTGATGCATGTGATATAATATATGTCATACTAAGTGATATGCATATGTATGTAAATATAAAATTAGCTTAGTCCTGAGATATGTCTCTTATAAATCCCAATATGCTTATAATCAAACGAAAAAAAAATGAATCTGATATTTTATTATAATATACTTATTATAAATCACTATTAGTCTTTAAAATAGCTATAATTCGCTAAAACGTTAAGATCAATTATACACTATAAAAATGGTTAAAACTAACTATTCTGGTTTAAATCCTATAGTAGTGTAGGCGTTAAATAATCTGCAATATAGATATAGTGGTGAAACACCAGAAATGTAGTGTTCTCGTATTTATTATACATTTAAGAAACTTCTTAAATATAATCTAAAATACTTCTCCAAGAATGGATTTATTCAAATGATTGAAAGAGTATATAAAAATAGGAATTTAAAGCTGGAAGACGCTCATTTTATATTTATTGCATTGTATGTGACCCCTTAGTAATTATCTGTAAAAATACCATCGAATGTGATAATAATCATCTGAAGAAATGTATTACTAAAACTGCCAAAAGACATATTAGATATTCTATACAGAAAAAAAGAGTATTATTAGAATTAAGTGATGATAAAATTGAAAAGATTTATCAAATATGTGGTTTTATATTCAGTAAATGCTGAACTAATTTTAGTTATGCATATGAATAGAGTTCTGAATGAGTACACAATGTGAAAGTGGGGGTTTAAGGACTGAAGGTCCGGCCCCCACTGAAACATTGTGTGTGTGAGCTACAGAACGTTAAAAACAATATCGATTTTTCTTATTATATTAGAAGAGCTTCTATCAGCTCTAAAATCTTAATTTCGTTATTATTTTTCTTAATTCTGTATGGGTTCTCCAACTTCAGAAAGCATATCGATTTTTATTAATATATTAGAAAAGCTTCTAACAGCTCTAGAATCTTAATTTCTATATCAATTTTCAGTTATATTTATTAAATCTAACGAAAAAATTATTATATCAGGAATTGATTCTGTGCGAGTTAGCTCTTTAAATAGCATATTAACTACTTAAGTCTAACGAAAATAAGTCTAACTGTCCTTATTACCCTATAAATAAGTTTAACGAAAAAATAAGTCTAATGAAATTAAGTCTAACTGTCCTTTTTACCCCATAAATAAATCTAACGATTTTCTTAAGTCTAACGAAAAATAATAAAATAAGTCTAATGGTCCTTATTACCCATAAATAAGTCTAACAAAAAAATTATGTGACTTTTTAAATCTAACGAAGTTTTTATATACAAGAATGCCTTCTATATAAGCTAGCTCATTAAATAGCATAATTGATAAATAAGTCTAACGAGATTTTTGTCCCAACTTTTCTTTAATCAAGAATGGGTTCAATGCAGGCTAGTTTACTAAAAATCATATTTTATATAAAAGTCTAACGAAATGTCACCCCTGCAAATTCCGCAGAATTGTCCCAACTTTTCCTTAGTCAAGAAAGAATTCTACGCGAGCTAGCTTATCAAATAGCATATTAATTATAAACTTTAACGAAAAAATATGCTCTACGTCTTCGGCTAAAAAGCAAGTCTAACGAAATACCCCGTTAGATATTGCGCCCAAATTCTGGCTAAAATTAAGGTATAAAGCTAGCTGAAATGGTCTTTCCATTTATTTGCTTTACCTATTCTGGCTGACAACTATCACAATATTCTCCTTCTTCTAATTTTATCAGATGGAAGCATTCCTTGCAGAGAGTAATATTAAGAATTGCAAGCTTGTCTCTATGTGCAACCATTATTTCCTCATAAGTTCTTTCTCGTATCTCTGATCAAAGTCTTTCTTGTATTTCTTATATCACTAATCGAAGACTTTCTTACATCTCTGATCGAAGACTTTCTGATCAAAGTCTATTATAGTGTTGGGTAACATAGTATCCTCTGATATATAATGGACATTGTCCACAAGCTGAAGCAGTAGGCTTTCTACAATCAGAGCATGATACTCGTTTCTTAGCTTTCCAATGAAATCGGCATCCTTCAAGACGAATGCAAGGATTTCCACAAGCCTTTCCAGTATTGCAGAGAAATGGGCAGGAATATTCACTGATCATCCTATTTTTTATCACTAAATATCGAAAGAATAATTAATAAATAGTTAATGCTTCAGTTTTGAAAAGATAGCTAGAACCGTTTTGGCAAGCCTGCAAATGCCGTCTTCACTGATCGAAAAGTGAAAGGAATAGGAAATAATTAATTAAAGAAAAAATTTTATAAGCAAGTAATAGCG